TAAAGTAAACACTAAATTGTATGTAGTTGAAACTAATTTTGTGTTCTTACCCTAAATTTCTTCTAAATTTATACACTACAGGAATAAAGGCATTACATGAAGTTAGAAGCGGGTAATTCAAACCATAGTGTCACCAGCGGTAACTGATACGTCTGAACCAATGGAAACCGTTCTGTACATAAGCCAATAGAAATCGTCCTTTCCACACTACGTCACAAAATTACATTCACCCGGGCAATTCAAACTAGTCACCAAATTTTCAGTCACCAAACTGTCACCGATAACCCCCTAACCTAACCCTTTTGTTTTCAAATTCAATACCCTCATTATTTAAATGGTCAAGAAGATTCTTTTGTGACTGTAAATCCAGCACTGGCAGTCTTATCTCCCCTTTGTCGCAATTTTCTCTCTCATTGTAACCAATTTCTAAAGAACACACAATAGTCGACTATAAATTTTAAGGAAACATGACGAACCTTACACGTCACGCTACACAACCCACTTAATTAATACCACCTTTTGTTTTTAATATTTCAATAAACCCTCATATACCCCCCTTCATATGCTCCAACCATTATGAGTTAAATAAAATTAATAAAATTATGAATAAATAATTATGAATTATGATGACGTAAAATTCTATTGTGACACTACCGCCATACTATCTACTTACACTTTTTCTGGTAAGCAAGAAGACTTGCGTGTGTTTTAGACTTTCGCCATTTACGTTCTGCTCTTCGCTTATTCCTTTTGGCATCACGGCATACTGTATTAAACCATTCAGATGATATGCGATCTGACACACATACGGTTTTCCGTGGAGCGAGTTCATCCCTGAGTAAGGTGAGTGAGGAATTATACTCATCAATAGCTGAGTTGATTTGCATTGAGTCAGTAAAGTGCGAGAACTTCTGTGAAATTTGAATTTGGAGGTAGTTAAGGTCGACACTGTCATACTTTCTATAAGAGATGACTTTTTTCCGGGTAAACGGTTTGTTGGCATCTAGACTTGCGTGAAGAAAGTAGTGATCCGACAACGGGTATGCATCAATGGATGTACTAGTGATAAGATCAGGATTATTAGTAATAATCAAATCAAGAGTATGCTGGTGTTTATGGGTAGGAACATTAATGAGCTGTGTAAGATTGAATAAACTGAGGACATCTGAAAGCTGGAGCGTATACGCATTCAGTGGATCATCAGCATGTATGTTAAAGTCACCTGTAATTATGACATTGGAGGACAATGAGTACTGCTCCACAAGAGTTGAAAACTCAGTAAAAAACTGCATGTTCGGACTAGGGGGTGGCCTATAGATGACAAGAAGTGTGATTGTCTTCAAAGGTAACTTGACGATGGCCTCACAAGCTTCAAATGATCGAAACTGGTCAAGTCTACGGCAGTTCGTTGCAAATCGTGTCATAACAGCAACACCGTCACCTCTGCTATTAATCCGAGGAAATGAAAAGAGCCGGTAACCACTTGGATGGCAAGCTGCGATTAGAGAATTATCATTTACTTGAAGCCATGTCTCTGTAACTGCAATGATGTCGACATCATGATTATCTACATATTGGTGGAACTGTGCAGTTTTGTTGCAAACAGATTGGGCATTCCAAACAGCAACTTTAACTGAACTATGACTTTGTGTGTAGAGTTGAGAGGTCATTTGAAGCACACCTGAAGATGAAAGGTCAAAAGTTGACCTGCATTTAACCTTGCACTTGACCTGTCTGCCAGCTCGACAGCCACGATTACGACGTAAAATTCCGAACTCCTTCATACGATTGTAAGCAGTAGGCGGGATCTTAAGTTTACGTTTGGTGTTGAGACACAGCATTAAACGTCTGCTGTACACTTTAGGCTGCTTCTGTTTTTTGCAGGTAGGCCTAGGCCTAAGCACAGGCAGAGCAACTGACTTGAGCTGAAAGGGAGACAAAGGCTCCAGACATGGTGACCATCGATCCGTGACAAGATGATTTGGGCCTAGCCCAAGGCAAAAAAACATCATCAAAAAACCAGAAAAAGAAGGACAAAAAACAGGAAAAAACACAATTGAGGGGTTAACCAATGTATTCAGAAAGAAAGAAATCTCAAAATCAAGTGAGGGAAAGGGCAGAAGAGAACAGTAACAAGGAAAACACATGGAATCAGCAGCTACAACAAGCGTCATTGTCCAAAGTTAGATGACTTAATACTGAATTAAAGAATTTTAAAATCAATGCACAATTGAGTGATTATTTTTCTTTCACAGTTGACAACACTTGATTTTGTAAAGAAAAGGGCTAAAATTTGAGTGTATACTACTGCTTCTGCTTCACATAACTCTGCAAGCATAGGTCGCTGAACTTTGTGGTAAATCGTCAATGTACGGTAGCTCATAAATTAAGCTTTCTTGTCATATAAGTCTCTACACTACCTTGCCCTAACTACAAAACTACTGGAAAAGAATAACACTCGCTTTAGCCAGTGTGTATGTTCTGTTAAATTTCCTTTTTCATTGGCTTTCACAAGACCTCTTCATATCGATGTACTTCAAAATTCAATAAGATAAAACAGTGACAGACGCTTCAACTTGGAGGTTTCGATACTCGAGGGACTGCCTAATATTTGATTATGTAATATATATTATATATACAATATATATAATATATATAGGCC